TCCTTAATATTTAAATTGATAAATAATAATGCTACACGCACCAATTTTTTTTTACCAACTTTTGTTTATTGACACGTGAAGTGACAATATATGTATCTTTATCATTTCATAAAAAAAATATATGTATATTTATAATTTCATAAATTTTGTATCTTTATCATCTATTTTAATCCACCCAATTTTTGTCCCTAAAAAAAATCCACCAATTTTAATTTTTTTTTTCTGGTAGTCCAAGAATCCACCCATTTTTTATAATTTCATAATTTTTTTCTATATGTGACACAATTCCCTTTATATGTGCCATTATTCTATATGTCCTACAGTGATATATACATATATATATATATATGTATATATCAAAATCCCTTGTTATTAATTAATGATCTTTTTAGAAAGAAAAAAAAAATCAACATGTCCCCTATGAATGCAAGTTACATATTATAGTATTGATAGCGTATTAATGTTTTTTGAGTGATGTGGTTTCTTTGCTGCCATACCTTCAAATTTTGGATCATGTGGGTATATAGCAGTACTTATAGAAAGGGGTTTGTAGTTCAAGTGCTTTGCATTTGAGGTTCTAAGTTCGATTGCACCCTCTCTCAATTCTTTTTGGATTAAAAAGAAAACATATGTAACATGAGAAAGTGAATTTGGTGAAACGTTCAAAATACAATATCTACTATTGTGAGAAGTTATTCGTCCAATATTTTCTTTGAACAAGGATAAGATAAGATAAGAATCACATTCAATAATCAGAATGAAAACCTACTAATAGTTGTCATGATATGCTGATGCATGCAACACATAATAATAGCCAAATGCTCATGATGGGTGGGTTTCAATTGAAACGTACGCATGCAAAATTACTAAAAAAGGACCAATAAAATCAAGATCATTGACTGATAAATCATTTGTAAAAGCACTTTGATTTGCAAATCAGTGGTCTCATGTTCGAACCCCATGACACATTAATAGTGCGTGTGAGAAATTTCACCATCCTTCTCCCGATATCACTTGTATAAAAAGAAAAAACTGTAATAACAATAACAAGGAGGGGCCCTTGCCAGATTTAACTTGGGCCTGAAACGTATGAGCCCAAACTCAGGCCCATGAGTACCTTCTCTGATGCTGAGGGTTGCGCTTGCGCAATCAAACTCTTGGTGGACGCTCTTTGCATCGCTTCCAACTGACCGACTGCGAGCCGTCGCGCATTTCTTTGACCCATAAAACCCACAAAGCCGCAGCGACAGCCTCCTTCATATCCAAACCTAAACATTTCTTTGGCTCTGCGAAAAATCGCATCGACTCTTCAGCGCGAAGCTCCATAGCCAGACAGAGAGAGAATGCCAGGCCTAACATGCAACGCCTGCAACAAAGAGTTGGTGGACGACGCGGAGCAAAAGCTCCATTACAAGTCTGAATGGCACCGCTACAATCTCAAGCGCAAGGTACCGTCCATTTTCATCTTCTTTCATCTGCGTATATATCATTTCTAGGGTTTTAGTTTGATTGTTTTTGTTCAATTTGTTGATTATTCCCCCAATCCGCTGCTGGTTTAAGATAGGAAAAGCAAGGGATTTGAAATTCCCAGACGATGGAATAAGAAAACGAATTCCAATTTTCTGGGGCAAATATGTTTCGTTAGGCGTTTTAGTTTCTTTCCTTTTTTATTGGATCTCAAACAGATATTGGAAATCTTTATTGCTGGTTTAAGTTTGGTCCTGCTGATGTCTTTTGGATGCTTCATTGTTTAAGATGCCAATCTTTGGATTCTAAGATTTTGGTCTATGACTGTGAGCAAATATCAGTTTATGCAGGCATGTCTATGACTGTGGTCTAAGATTTTTGTCTTTAAATTCACATTTGCCCACAGGAGGATTATAGATTCTGTCTTCTATTTTGGTTTGCGATTAATTAATTTGACATTGGCTACAAATGGTGTCGTCTTGTTAGTACTCACTTGATGAAATTCTTTTATTGAATGTTGTATATTATGGCATGCTAGCGCAGCATCGTGTTCACTTACATTATTACATACATGTTTGATTATCTTTAATAAATTCTGAAGTATTCTTTAAAATAATCAGGTAGCCGGTGTTCCCGGGGTGACAGAAACATTATTTATAGCAAGACAAGATGCACTCGCCCAGGAGAAAAACGGTTTAAGTGAAACCCCGATGCTCTACAGTTGTGGTCTTTGTGGCAAAGGGTATAGAAGTTCTAAGGCTCATGCTGAGCATCTCAAATCACGAAGTCACATTCTGAGGGCCTCTCAAGGGACCAGTGATCAAGAAGAGAAGGCAATAATTAGGCCACTTCCCAGTCGTGTTGTGAATAAAGCTCCCCCCAAAAGACAGGAAAGTGATGAGGAAACTGAAGAAAGTGAAGATGAGTGGGAGGAGGTTGATTCTGATGAAGACTTGGTTGGTGAGACTGCAAAATCTTTGACTGAAATGAACGTAGATGAGCATGCCTCCAATGAGGATATGGATGAAGATGACTTTGAGGAGTTGGATCCATCCTGTTGCTTTATGTGCGATCTAGAGCATGATACCATTGAAAGCTGCATGGTTCACATGCACAAACAACATGGATTCTTCATTCCTGATATTGAGTATTTAAAGGATCCAAAAGGCCTCCTTACTTATCTTGGTCTTAAGGTACTGAAATACCTTCTATGTTCTTTTCCTGGAGAAACTTGTTCCCATTTTGGCTTTTTCTTCAGAAATTGGTTGACTCTTTACATCTTAAATTTTCAGGTTAAAAGGGATCTTATGTGTCTGTACTGCAATGATAGGCGCCATCCTTTTAACAGTTTGGAAGCAGTTAGGAAGCATATGTCGGCAAAAAGCCATTGCAAGGTACATTATGGCGATGGTGACGATGAAGAAGAAGCCGAGTTAGAAGAGTTCTATGATTACAGCAGCAGGTTATTCAATTTTGTCAATGGCTATTGTGTTATGTTATTTGTTGTAAGCATTACTTTTCTTCTATATGTCTTGGTATCTCTTAGCTGAACTACTTCTGTCTTGGTTTTCAGTTATGTGGATGAGGCTGGCAAACAATTGGTTGTATCAGGTGATATGGCAAACAGCGTAGAACTTGGGAGTGGTGGCTCTGAGCTCATCATTACTAGACGATCTGATGATGGCACATCAACCAAAACACTTGGTTCCCGGGAATATTTGCGCTATTATCGCCAGAAGCTGCGCCCATCACCTACAAATGGTACCGCCATTACAGCTGCATTAGCCTCAAGGTTTGTTCTAATCCCTTATGCTGGGTATTCTCTATAGTTTGAGTAAACAATTTGGATCGAGCCTTCCCCTATATTCACATTGGAAATAAATAAAGAAAACAAATCATGTGGTGACAGAAGTTGTGTTCTGATTTTCAGGTACAAGAGCATGGGGTTGGCGACTGTGCAGTCAAAAGAACGAATGGTCAGGATGAAGGTACTGAAGGAAATGAGAAGATCGGGAGTGGAGGCTATGCGCAGTAAGATGGGAATGAAAAGCAACGTCATTCGGAACCTGCCCAAGAATTGCACATATTAGTCCTCAAGGACTCCTATTTCTAGAGTTGAATGAATGTTGGAGGCCTAAAGTTCCAGTAAGCACTATTAAGTATCTTGGGTGGGTTGTTTAAGACCGTTTGAGTATTCATAGGAAGTGTCAAGATTTCTTTTGTATGAACTACAATTTACCAATAGCAATATTTTGCAAGTGTTATGGTATGAATGTCTATGTTTTTGTACGAAATATATATATTTTCTTTCTACATAATTAGAAAAACAATTTTAATATTTATGTTAATTCACAGGAGATACTTCTTTATTTCTGGTTTTTTTTTCAAAAAAATTTAAATTTTTTATAAATTTATTTATGGTTATCTTCTGGGAAGATTTGGCTCCTTAATATGTGCTTTGTCCTATTGGTTTATGGAGTCCATTGTGGATGCTCTTACTGTTAAATATTTTTTATTATTATTTTATATGAAGAGGGAGCATTTATGCTAAACTAAAAAAAGAAATAAATCAACCAAGGTGGTTGGTGTGAGTAATTCGGCACTCTCATTCCTTAAGAGAGGTCAGGGGTTCGATCCCTGCTCTCGTACGGAGTCACCACTTTGGCCAACACTTTACCCCTTACGGGCCGACCCGGTGTGAGTGGGGATTAGTCTGGGTTGTGGTTAAGGCTTAAAGGTGCCACCCATAATTAGGGCACATCCAGAACCACCTCATGGTTTAGATCCAAAAAAAGAAAAAGAAAAAAAAAAGAAATAAATCATTTATGATTTTCTAAACTAGGGAGCATAGTTAGAGTTGAAATTTTATAAGGAGTTCTTAAAATAGCTTTATAGTATTTTTAATTAAATTTTAACTAAAAATTAAGGAGCATGATTGTTGATGCTCATTTTTTAAGAAATCCCACGCAAAATGGCATCATTGAATATGCTGTAACAAGAGAGATGTCTTTGTCTTTGGAACATAGGCGGAAGAGAATAATTCGGTAGAAAGAAAAAGATGCTGATATAAATTGGTGACTCTAAAATGTAATTACATACTAATTTGTTCTCTACCTTAAACATTTAATAAGAAAATTATTGATTTGGCCAACAAAGTTTAGCCAATGTCCAGTGAAAAAGGGTCTTGACATGCATATCGAATCCCCATGACACCTTGGTCGTGTTTATAACAAATAGCCCCCTCCCCCTTCCTGATGTTAGCAAAAAGAAAATTATCGATTTGAGAAAGAAAAAAGACAGGAAGAAAAAAATCCAATCACATCATCGTCGCCAAGCAAAAGAAGATTTTCAGCCATGCATATTTTCAGGATTATAAAGGTAAATAAAAAGAAAATATTAATTTTAAAACTTTAATAGGTGTGCTGAGAAAATAAGCTTAAAGACTAACGAGTGTAGAGAGAGTGTGAGTGAGAAGGTGGGAAGGAGATTTTGGTGACTAAACAGTAAACACTAAACTAATCCACATATTAATAAGATATGAAGCAAAGGTTATACTTTTAAGCAACAAAGGGGACCCATGGAACCAATAGATGTGTCATGTAATGTCCAATCAGCACATCTCATTGCAGATCTAAAAATATACAATCCAGATGTAGCTTGCTTTTACACGTAAACAAACTACTGAAGAGATCCACAGCAAGCATGCCGGTGCCTTCCACTTCCTTCCAATGGATCTCTTTCTTGCCCCTTCACTTCTACTCTATTTAAGCACTGCCACAAGATCTAATGAGATTTACTTGTTCACAAAATAGTGTTAAAATTCATGGAATTGATAGATGTACTGTACACAGAAAATGAGTTGGCTTTTATTTATTTTTTATATACTGGTATAGACAGATTACTTCATGAAAAGTTTTCCATTGCAGGGAAAACTTGACCTGCACAAAGGAGGATGCATAAGATCCATGAGTAGAGCATACCTAATTGTCATAGAAGCGAGAACGACGTCTACGTGAACTGCAAATAAAAGAGCAATATGCAAATAAGTTTTAGGTAAAGACTAGAAACCAATAAACTCTACCTACTCTTACAAAACTTAAATGAGAGCAATAAAGCTCAACAGTTAGTATGCGCATGTGCAAGTGCTGAGCTCTCCAAACCCCCACTTAAAGAGATTCCTACTGGCACAGGTAGCTAGTCCAACGAGAAAATGAATCATATGGTGCATTGTTTAGGTTTATTTCAGTAAGATGGTGTACTAGATTTCTTGCAGCAGGTGTCCTTGCCATGACTAGGTGGGGATATATGACATTAAATGATAAGTTATGCAGTCCAATTTAATTCATAAAAGTTGATGTACAAACACAACTGTAAATAGAAAGATACTATCAGCCAAATCATGAAGGCAAAGATTAAAATCCAAAGATACAAGAATGAAAAAGAAACATCACAAACCTTCGATGACTGGAGCCACCCCTGGAGGAGCCATTTGAACTCATAAAATCATCATCAGTCTCATCTGCTCTATACTCAGGGAATTCAACAGATGTCACAGAACCTTCATCAGAATTCGAATTATCATAGCTTGCTCGGCGACTTCCTCTTCTTGCGTCACCAACTCTTGACCTTCTTCTGTTTCTAGAATTTCGTAAGTTATCAAAAACCTGATATAAGATACAGGAGGTCCACCAGTTACGTTCGTCCCCATGGAAGTCCTCAAACTCATCTCCAGTCTCATCATCACCATATTCAATCACATAGTCTCCTAAAACCACCCCACGAGGGACTTCCGAATGAATAGTGCTCAAAACATCTATGATCTCGGAGGACTGCTGGAAATTATCCCAATCAAGCTGCCGAGCAGGATCAATTTTTGAAGGACGAGAATGAGGATGCTCTAGTTGAGCATGTTTTTGTAATTCCAAGTATGTACCCATAAACGTACATTGATGTTCCTCACAACAACGCTTCTTCACATCTAGATGTCTACGAGCCTTGTCAACAACCACCCACCCAGTAACTTCCCCCCTACACAAGGGACAAGTAGGCCTGCAATCTTCTTCTGATGCCATTTGTTCAGTATTTACTGCAGGACTCACATCAGATTTTGAAGGAGATGACATACCATATGCACTTTTGAAACGGTCTAAACAATTGGAGTGTAAGTGGTTTGTATCACAAACAAAAGCATGGCATCCTTTCTCATAAGATGAGCACTGAAGGAGTACACCGTTGTGAGGGAAATCCAAACATATAGGACAAGTCACATCTTCCCAATTTGTATTTAATTCAACATCTTCCATATTGAATGAACTGGGTTGAAGCCCAACTCCTCTTTCATTAGAAGCTTTAAAGGCCATGAAGGGGGCTATTATTTAGAATTAGCACAAGCACATGACAATGCACCCCACACTTGGATCAGACACACCACTTAACCAATGGGAATTCTGAGAATGAACTACACAATCTTCCAGGTCAACAGTCACTTATCCCATATGATAGTATCCTACACAAGGCTGTAAATGATCACAATAAGTATGGATGGATGGTGAAACGCAAGCCATATGAAGAACTGCAAAATTGTTCCCTACATTCTATACTCTGACCTATAATTAAAAACAAAATTTCCACTGACTGGAGTTATTACAGCACATTAGAGGAACCTTATAAAGGACATAAACCGAAGGAATATTAGATTGTAGTGAGCCAAGAAACACCAGTTTTGAACAACACAAAACTCAAACCAGTAAAAAAAACCTCACAAAACTGCCCTTAGATTAGCATATTACCTTTATCTATGACCTAAATGTTCAGCATGATAGCAAGAAAAGTAGGCTTCGCAGAGAATCCGGACTAAAAAGTTTTGAACAAAGGCCTGTAAAACATGTTCAGTAAGACATTTCTTTTTATCTTTGTAAGCAGCCACGACCTACTATATAGATTTAGCAAAGCTGAGTAACCAAACAATATAGAACACAATAATATATATGTATAAGATCAATCTATTTAATTCTTCTGAGTTGGTTTTAGTAGCCAAGATGTTACGCGGTATGTTTATCTCCAATTCTTCAGGTTTAGAGTTGAATAGAACAACCAAAATAAAAGTCAACAGGCGCAAACAGCCACCACAGGAAAATCAATTTCAATAAGCAACTTCTTCAGCATAATTTAAGACTAGTATTTGACTTTAATCAAATTCAATAACCCATTACCCGTACGCTTCATACATACTAGCAAACCAAGCAACAACTCTAACGATTCGAAACTATCCATGAAGCTGAAATGGGGTCAATAACAAACTAATCAATCCAAAATTATTGACATTAAATAAATTGATTAAACCTGCATAAACACCAAAGATTCATAGTTATTCTGAGCAAATATGAATCAGAATCAATAAGCAATCACACAACACACACAAGCACAACTGATCAAACCAGGACTTGGGTATTCAGTCAACTGGCAAATGATCCAACAAAACGACCAAGGCAGCAAAATCATTGATGAAATGTTAAAGGATGAAACATTTACGCTAATGGGTATTCACTTAAATTAAAAAAGGCCAAAAATTGAGGCACAACAATAAAAATTGGAAGAGAAAAACGAAACCCAGAAACTGAGACACAAAATTTGCAACCTGACTCACCTAATATGTGAGAATCTTCGATTGAAAAATGCAAAACCCCTCTGTGTAGAGACAGAGAGAGGCAGGGAATGAGAGAATTTTAATTTCCTTTTCTTTTTGTTTTGTTTAATTTTATGAGAGTAAAAGAGAGCATTCTTGGTCTCTCTTCCTTTATGCGTGTGTGATTGGGGAGAGAGGTCAGTTTTCTGAGGAGTAGGTAGGGTCTCTTTCTCTTTCTTCCTTTTTTTTTTCTTTCCCAAAAGAATGATATATAAAAGGCAAATTATGCATCCAAATTTGTTGGTAAAATGACTAACATACCCTTATGCTTCTTTGACCAAGCTCATGTGACAGTGACAGAATCCATTAGGCTAGCAAGCCATTCACACTGAACTTCTTTTTTTTCATATGTGGGGAGTGGATTATGGATTGTCTGCTGCTTAAACCATAAAATTTGTTTTTCTTTTTGGGTATATTCTATAGGCCTGCAATTTTGTTTTTCCTTCAATTAGTTACTATATTTGATAATTAATGTATTTACATACATGTGTATATTCCACATACATAAAAAAAAAGGTCTTGTTTCTTGTTTAATATATTGTGTTTTTAAATTAATAATAGGAATGATTAGGGAAATACTTTCTTATTTATTATTTGCACTCCTCGTATTAGAGAGATGATCAGTAATATGGTCAATACAGTAAATACGATATCCTGCTTAAGAGATTTTCAGATATTACTAAGCAATAATACTAAGCGTGACTGAATTATAATAATATCTAAATGATTGATCAATATAAATCGATAAGCAACATAAAAGTAAATCATAGTAATAATTTCGTTTTCTATCATTTTGTTGGGGTTTAAGAGCTTCATTTTGTCATTATTAGAAAAAGTTGCTTTTTATTATGTCATGGTTCATTAAACATCAACCAAAGTTGACCCAAAAAAAACATCGATCAAATTGACTTGCATGTGAGGTGTGGAGTTGTACCCACTTTGGTGGGCGGTAACCCGGTTTAAGTACTTGCATGTTCCAAAAAGTCAAGCTCCTTGCAATTCATCATTTCCCCAAACTCCAAAGTCAAATACCACTGTTTTTTTTATAAAAAAAATTTAATTTTTTTATTTATCATTTTCTTGTGTAATAAAATGTCATTTTCGCAGTCAACAACAAAATATTGAAACACCAAAAAAAGAAAAAATAATATTGAAGCTTTCAATAATATTTATTAGATGTGCAAGTGTTAGTCGATTTTCATGATCTCTTATGACATTGTTTATTGAAAGATTATGTATTAAAAATGACAAGTGGCTGATTTTAATACCTAACTATTGTAATTAGAATGAGAACCGAATAAAGGAACCAAATCTTTTTTTTTTCCTCTCAATTCTCTCACATCAATCGAATTTCATATAGATCTTATGCTATCATGGATTTCATCTCGTGCTAGAGAGTTAGAGAAATTTTAAAAAATATTGAATTCCACAACATTTTTTTAAGGAAGAATAAAAGATAGTCAACCTTTAAATGTGAACTATTAACCCTAGAATGATATTTCCCTGTAGTTTGCATGCGATTTGGATCCGCTCAAACGTAAATAGTTTGTAAATAATTGCGGGCTTCGAATTTTCTAGTTTAAAAATAACATAAAAAGTTTTTTTTAATCAATAAGAACATAAAATAGATGAGAAAATTACACACCAATGAGCAATGACTTTCACAAATTGGTTGTAGAAATAACTTAAAATGAAAGGGAGAAGAAACCATTTTATTCTTCTCTCTCTTGCCAAAGGAAAATGAAACGGAAAAGAAAAATTGACAAATATGAATTTTGATTTTACATAATTAATATTGTAGACCTTATATTAACCACTATGCATGAAAGAACCAATAAATTTTACAAATTAGTCCTCTACAAAGTACAAACCACTTGGTGTGGTGTACATGCGTATATGAAGTTATGAACCGAGACTGCTTAATGCACATACAACAACCAAACCCCAAAATTGTTATAAAGAAAACAATTCAACCCCAAAATAAAACCACTTCTAAAACTGACCTAAACCCTGAAACGCCATTGCGGGTTGGTATATGAGTGTATGACCATTTGATCATATTCTCCCTGCACAACCGGAACGGTGAATGAACTATTTCTGCTCCTCTATAATCCGGGTTACAATGCCAACAGCAATAGTGCTTCCTAATGCCCTTAAAAATGCCCTCCCAAGGGCTCTAGAATTAGAGAACTCTTCCACACAAACTGGCTGGTGCAAAACAACCTGAAATAAGAGCAGGAAAGGATCGGTTATTATTGATACCAAAAGTACAGTACAATTAACCTGCAAAACAGCAAGCAATGCTTTTGATCTTATTCACCTCTACAATGGCGTTCTGCTTTGCTGTAAGACAGCGAGGAGCCTTTCTTGTCACTTTGCCAGTCTTGGGATCAAGTAATGACGATATTTTTATAACTCTGGCAGCCTCCTTTGCATGGTGTATGTGAAATTCCAACTGCTCATTCCAGTCATATTAGATCGCTTTCCATAAAACAACAGTGACGCAGACAGCAAAGTAATTTGTCACGCAAATAAAATACAAACCTGAGAGCCAATTAAAATTGGGGTTGTAACATCCAAAACCAGCACCTTCAATTCCAAATGTTTTGCAACTGCAACTGGGAAACCAGGGTGACAGAGCACACCTCCTGCCATCACATGACCTCCATCTATGCCTTGCAGAGTAACAGCCACATTGTCTCCAGCTCTCGCAATTACACAAGCCTGAGAGTCACGTTCTAAAGAGCGTACGGTCCCTAATTCTCCCGAAGGCATAACCAGAACCTACACAATTAACTGATTATGGCTACAGTGCAAGGAAAGACACAAGGGTAGTGGAGCAAAGGAACTGTTCACATATATAATTGATTTGGTTAGACCAGAAATCTGATTATAAAATGGATTACTTGCATTAGAATATACATGAGCCTGTCATCAAATCGTATGGATCAACTTTATCCAAGAAATAACAAAAGAGACAGAGACAGCCAATTCAATAGCTCACGTCAATAAAAACCACAGAGCAATAAACTGTTGCTATACAAGTATAAGCAATTCCTATTAAACCCAATTGCTTGAACGTACAATTGGATTTTATTGGAATTGTTTATACACAGGACAATGTTCTCTTGTCAGACTGTTAATTTAGACCACACCAATGAAATCCAATTGTGTGAATGTACTGTTCCATTTCATTGGAAATGGTTCTCTTGTCAGACTGTTAATTCAGACCACACATTTAAAGTTTCAAACACGATCCACCTGATCAATAGCAAAGAATGCGGATCATCAACCAGTCTGATAAGAGAATATTTTCTCATATGCGTACTTACATGTAAGTATGTACATGTGCGGGGATATTCTTGAATATATGAAATCTATGGTTTTAACTGATTCACTGAACTATCCATTTGGGAAGGGACCAAACTTTTAGTTAGATTACTCACAACAACATCTAGTACTACCCACCAACATACCTTGAATCCACTTCGGAGAGCTCCTGCTTCCAATTTACCACAAGCAGATACCTGTCCTTGTGAAGAAGATTTAATGACATCACATATAGGCATGAGCAGTGGCTTTGAAAACTCTCTTGTGGGAGGTTGGAGGGAATCAATTGCATCCAACAGGTAAGGTCCATGGTACCTGCATTTCAGTTACCTCAGACTATTTTTCATTTACAATAACAGCTGCACATAAGGAAAAGTTCTCCAACAAATTTCATTAAGATGCTACATTATCTACTTCTTAAGGTGAGTATTATTTGGGCCCTAAAGAAGGTATTTTACATAAAACAAGTTACTATCCCATTATTTTCAATATAATGGCTTCCAAATGATCTGAAGAGTTCACATAAGTAAAAGATTAAGATCCTACGAGAGAGGGAAAAATTCCATAAAAACAAAAATCTGCAATACCCTAATATTAGACCCTATAACTAAGCCAACTAATAAACTAATACTCACATTGTAAAACTAATAAATAGAAACTAAATAAGATAATCTTGATTTCTAAGTTTGCTCCGGCGTATAAAATAAATACTACTTTTCTTCTCGTATCCATCATCAGTAGTGATTTTGAATAGATGAAAAAGTACGAAAACTCACCAAGAAGAAAAACGGGCATCAGAAGGAGCTGCTACCAAATTCTGATTTTCCATGGCACTCAGTGGAATCCAAGACACCAAAGAATCTTTGAAGCCACAGGAACGGAGAAATGTTCCAAGTCTCTGTTTAATCAAATCAAACCGATCCTTGGAGTACTCAACAATATCCATCTTGTTCACAGCAACTATAATTTGATCAACACCAAAGCTTCTGATAAGTTGTGCATGCTCCTTTGTCTGTCCCTTGCTACCATCCACACCAGCTTCGAATGCGCCAACTGAAGCATCTATGAGAAGTATCGCAGCATCAGCTTGTGTTGCCCCAGATATCATGTTTGGAACAAAATCTTTATGGCCAGGGGAGTCAAGCACAACAACATGATATTTTCTGGAATCAAAGTATGCAACGGCCACTGTCATAGTTATTCCTCTTTCCCTTTCTTCTGCACTCTCGTCCAATGCCCAAGCATATGCAAAAGAGCCCTTACCCTGATTAAATCATGAACCCAAGTTGAACACAAGATTCAAGGTTCCGAAACACTCAAATACAAAATTGCAATGAGGTTACCTGTAACTTCGCCTCTTTCTCATATTTGTGCATTTCTTTTTTAGATATCCTTCCCAAAAGATGAAGCAGTCTACCTGAGAGTGTTGATTTTCCAGAATCAACATGGCCAACCTACAATAACAAGTGAAATAAAAATTGGCTTCATTTCCTATGAAGTAGTATTAGTAATAATAGGAGGAGGAAGAATGGGATTATAAGACCATAATCAAGTGGCTTACTATTGCAAGATTTAGTTGAGTCAGTGTATCTACAGCTTGGTCAGGGAGCATCCACTTTTCAGGTTTGTAGTCCGCTTGTGAATGAGATCCTCTAACATTAACATTATTAGAAGATCCAGATCTAGCATCCAAATCCAAATTTTTCAAGCCACTGGTAACACTCTGCTGCTTGCCCCTAATCACAGAAGAATTTGTGCTCTCATCCACACTGTCATGTCTGCTTCTTGGCTGCGACGCTGACGAACTATCAGACAATCTACCATTTGCTTGTAAAGTA